CATCTACATATTCTATTGCAGCTTGTCTATAGTTTGCAATAGTATTGCTATGTGTTCTTTCTTCTGTTTTCTGTTCTACTATATAGCTGAGTGTTTTATCTTCTTGAATTTTTTCCAGTAATGGGTTATAAAAAAGGCACCATATTAGAGATAAGATTACTTTACCTTGATCTATTCTATCCTCTGCTGTTATTTTTTCTATTAGGCCATATGTTATAATAACTTTTAATTGTCATTTAGAGAAAAGATTCATTATATATTTTCTTATTTTTTGTAATATTTTGACTCTTTTGAGTGCCAACTCTAGGCTCTCTAATAGAACTGAGTCAAACACTTTCTTCATATCTTGCAAAAGTATCCATAATTCTTTATTTTTCTCTTGAGTTTCTTCTATTATCATATTTAAAATATGTATTGGTTGTTCAGTTAAGTTGCCTAGCAGGCCTGCATCATTTGGCCTTTTGAGTATTTGTTTCTTTATAAATACTTTGTCCAATCTTCTTGTTATTACTTTGGTAACCAATTTTCTAAAAGTTTCAATTAATCAATTGGTCTTATATTATTTAGACTATAGCTTTATTTAATATCTTTTATAATTGGATATATTTGTGCTATTTTCTACTTGCTTGGTATTTCACTATTTTCTAATATAAGGTCTGCAAACATTTTAAAGATTTTTTGTATTTTTTTATTTGCATGCTTGATTAATATATAGCTTATATTAGATATTCCTGGGCTGTGACTGTTTTAAGTTCTCTTAGTATTTTATTTCATTTTTTCTTATTTATTTTCTTTTTCATTTTATCATATTATGAGTTATTGATCCAACTTCTTGGTTTATATATTTCTTTTCATTCTTCTAACATTTCTTTCAACTTGGTTTTTCTTTTCTGAAACTGATTTTTATAGTGTTCTTCTAGGTCTGCTTTAACTGCATTTAGTTCTTTTATTAGTTCTTCTTTTTTTTTTCTTGTATTATAAATCTGTCAAGAACTATCTTCTTATATAGTCTATTAAGAAGACTCACAATCATCTTGCTTTGATCTTTTTTAATCATTTCAAATCTTCTGTTTATATTTTCTTAAATCTGCTTTCTTTGTAGCTGTTTTCATTCTTCTTTTTCTCTTTCTTTAAGTATTTTTTGCCAGTCATTAATATCTTCTATCCAGGCTTCTAACTACTATCTGTGCAACTCTAATAACACTACTTCTATTTTTTTTTCTATTGCTTTGAGTTTTCTGTTTATTTCTTCTCTTTCTTTTTCTTCTGCTTTTTGATTTTTCTTTCTTTCTGTCTTCTTAATTATACATTGCAGCACTACAATATACTTATATTGCTATTGTTTTCTTTAACTTTGCCTTCTGTTTATCTTTGTATTAAAAATCTTCTTTTTTGAAATATATTTGTTTGTTGCTTCAAGTATAGTACATTCTATTGCTTCCTATATATTATTTATTATATTTGTTATACAATTAGTATTAAGGTTATTTTCTAACAATTGTTTTATTGCTTTCTTCTATTCTAGCTGCCTCTGTAGTTTTGTTGTGTACTTTTTTCAATCTTTTTGCTTTGTTTCATTATATAAATATATTATTTTTGTTTGATCTTTATATTTAATCTCTGGCTTACTGTTCTTTGCTACTGCATGTTCTAGCCAAATTTCTGTAATTATTATCTTATAATTACTATCTGTCAGTTCTTCTGCCTCTTCTATTTCTGCTTTCTGCAAACCTAATGCAAAAACTTCTGATATTTATATATAGTCTATTCTTGTTGCCATGTTTTTATTTAATCATATATATGTTTTTTTTGTTGAATGAAGGTTTTATAAATATCTGCAAAATCTTGTTTTTTGAGCTAGCTAAATATTAGTAACTTTTTGTAACTTGTTGTTTGTGAATGTTGTCTATCTAATATATTCTTTATTGTGTAATTGAAATCTCTAAATATAATTATTTATATGTGTCTTTTCTTCTTTAAAACTATTTTTACTACTTTTTGTTGTATGTTTCTGCTGATCGATTTATTATTTGGTGGTATATATATTGCTATTACAATTAGCTCTAATTGTTTAAAATACATTCATATTTCTATTATATATTCACTGCTTTTTGTCATAGCTTCTATAAGTTTTTCTCATTTTTTATCTATTAATATTTCTATACTTGATCCTTTTTTTTTGTCTTGTGCTATACTAGTTTAAAACCTTTTTTATTGTGTGTTTAAGCTGTGTATTAAAAACTTTTTTTCTCTTTCTGTCATGTTTATTTTTACTATAAATAGAATTGTTATTTCTTCTTTTTTTGTCTACTCAGCCAAATTTCCTAGCTTTCATCTTTTGGTCTTAAGTCCATTAATATTGTAGTATGCTATTTTAAGTTTTTTTTTAACTCTTTGTCTTCATTTTTTTTTAAGCTAATTATTTTTTAATACTATTAAATCATCTTCTTTTTCTTTATCTTTTCTGCTTTTAATTTTTGTTAGATATGAAAGTTGTTTTGGCTGTTTTTTCTCAAATGCTTCTCTTTTATTTTGCAAAAATTCTGCAATCTTCTTATCTATATTTGTGTTTTCAACTGTGACTACTTTTAGAAGCATTGGACAGGCTGAGCCTGTCTTTTACTTATCATTTCTAACTTTTTTAATATATCTTGAAGCATTTTTTGATAAGCTCAATTTTCTTTCAAACCTCTTCTGCCTTTTTGCTATTTTCTTTATTGCCTTTTTTGTTCTTCTTTTCAGTGTTTTCTTCTTGATTTGGTTTCTTGCTTGTCACTTGGCCTTCTATAAATTCTAACTTCTTTTCTTCTTGTTTTTGTACATTATATTTGTATTTGTTTGTTTTTTCAGAATTTGTGTATTCTGCAACTGCTTCTTCTCTTAACTTCCAATATAGTATATAGTATATAGTTATAGTATCTTATTGATTTGCTTATAGCTCTTTTTAAATTTATGTTATTTGCAAAAGTGACTGTTGCTATACTTCTTGGATTTCTATTTCTGTTTGGAGAAATATGTACTACTTTTACTTTTTTATTTCTTAGGCATTTTAGTAACAAAACTCTAGAAGCTCCTCTTGCTAAACCTATTAATTTAGCAGTATATTGTTTTTGGTTCTCTTTCTGTATATAGTCTTCATACCTCCATGTTACCTGTACTAGATTGTTATTACCAAATAGTAATATCCATGGAGCTCTTTCTTTTTCTAGAAATATAGATTGTATTATTGCTAATGTCTTGAATCTTGTTCTTTGGATTTTAACTACTTGTACATTTTATATATTCTTGCAAATAAATTTAACTTCTTTTTTTATATTTGCTGAAAGGTCTCAAATTGTTAGAAATTTGTTTGTTTTTCTTTTTTCTGTTTTTTTTCTTTTATTCTTCTTGTTAAGTATTTTTGTTATAATGTTTTTCTTTTCTTTTTAGTTTCTATATAATGCTTTTGTTTTAATATATTGTTTTGTTCTTGTCTTTTCTTCTTTTATAGCTTTTGCTATTGTTATGTCTTTTTTGTAAAGTTCTTTTATTGCTGCTTCTCTGCTGCTATTATAGTTAAAGTCTAACTTCATTTATTTGTCTTCTTTTGTCTTTTTGTTTTATTGATAGTTTTTTCTTTTTTCTCTTCTATTTTCTTTTATTTTTCTTCCTTTTTTTCCAAATGTTGTCTTCTTCTTTTACTGCTTTTCACTTTAACATCTTTGTTACTTGTCATAATTTCTATTTTTTGCATCTTGTCTTCTTCTTTAACATTCTCTTCTAAATTTATATTTAAAAGAAATTATACTGATTTTGGATTCAGGCTCATGTTTCTGATTGTTCTAGCACATTATTTTATATTTTTGTTTTGCAATTCTATACTATTCACTTTTCTAAGTGCTGTTATTATTTGACTATATAGAAGCAGGTCATATACTGTAATTCTGTCTATATCTTCTACTACTAAGCTTTTTGCTATTAATTCTATATCATCTGAGCTTGCTGTTTTTGTTGTATTTAAAACTTTGATGATTTCTTTGCTATCTGTATATCTTATTATTTTTGCTTTATAGTTGCTAATGTATCTGAGTAAACTCTGTATTTGTGTATCTTTTATATGCCCTAGATCTTGTTCTAAATTAATTTGTATATCTAGTTTTATTATCTGTTTCTTTATTTATTTTGTTGTATGTATTGTTTATTTTCAAATTTGTATATATTGTATTTGTTTACTTGTTGTTTGCTCAGATGATTGGTCATGTGTTGTTGTCTGTTCTTTTTTGGATCAGCTGTAGTTCTTTAGAAAATTTTGATTTTTTCAAATTTTTTTTATTTTTCAACAGAAAATGCTGCCATGTCTTCTGGTTTTTTTCTTTTACTACAACTTTGTATTCTACTTATATATTTTGCCTGTTTGCTTCTTTTTTCTTAATGCTTTTTCATATGTTTTCTATACTGTTTATTGAGTTATTTATGATATTGTGTTTTGACTAAATTTGTGAAATAGGATTAGCAAAAAGAGTTTTTGTAATAAATATTGAATAATTTTTAAAAATTAATTTTATTATATTATAATTAATTCATAATCCGCGTGGGAACCAGTGAAATTTATTATTAGATTTTGGGGAAATATTTGCAGATCACTTATAAAAAAAGTAAAAATGACAAACTTTTACTTTATATTAACCAGACAAATTAAATTCCAATTGCATTAAAATAGTAGTATAATCGATTATATAAGACCAAAAGAATCAAGTATCAGTATTTTTTTTTTTAAAAAGTCGATTATTAAAAACTTTATATTGGGGAAACGCCAGATTTCACTTTTCTAAAACCTTAACCTTTGCGATTTGGATATGTACATATGTAGACTTTTATTATATACTATTGTAAATTTTTACTTGCGCTGTTTTTTGCTTGTGTTGCATTGCATATCTTGCGATCCAGTTTTGAATAGTTGACACTTTTGGAATATTGCTTTCCTCCAGATCAACTATTTTTACTAACTTCATTAATTTATTCTACATTTCTTCTATGCTATATCTGTTACTTTTATCAGCATTACCCACCAAAAAATATCTTTCCAAATAAGCTATTACATGCTTACTAATTCTTTTACCTGCTTCTTTTTTTCTGAATTTTTGATTTTCTTTTAGCACCCACCCTAATGTAAGTAGAAATTCTTCATGCATACTTTCATTTGATAGTATGTTATAAATTTTATAAGTCTATATATTGACATAAAAAATTATGACTATAAACAGATTTAACATTACTTTTTTTCTTCACTTAGTTCTTGTAGATAGTCAGCCGTTGAGTGATGAGAAATAACTCCTAAAAATATAGGTCAGATAAACATATAATTTGTAGAAAAATATAATAGAATAGAGACATATTATCTGATTTATGTAGTAATAGGATAAACCATGGAGATTTGAGGGTCAAATGCTAAGTTACTTGAGGATGCAGTTTTTGTATTTCTTTCTTTTTCAATTTTTCTAATTTCACTGATGAAAAATTGTTCCATTCACCAATATTAGGTATAGCATGTGCTCGAATGTATCCTGCATAATTGCCATCGCATGACCACTCCTATGAGAACCAATTGGAGTTACTCGATAAAGTATTGATCTGTTTTTTACCTGAAACTAAAAAAAGGTCAATTTATCTAATACTTTAAATCTCATACACTTGTCTTACCTTTAGTACGTTCTAGTTCTAGATGGGCCACTAATGTTCCACGAATTCCTTCAATCACTAATTCAATATCTGATCCTTGTGAAATATCAAATTCTAGATGGACGTGATGACTGATTGCATGCGAAATCTAGAAAACATTCAAAAAAAAAATAAATAAATAAAAAATAAAAAATAATAAAATAAAATAAAAGCAAAGCAAAAAAAAAAATTAGTAGGTAAACCTGTGCATGATGAGAATCAATGGTCATTTTGGCTTCTCTGGCTTCGAGAAAAGTTCATTTTCTAATATGAATGTTGTACCATTCTTTTCATAGCTCCATAATCATCATTAGATCTGCATTGTGATAATGAGGACCATTATCAGACAAAAAAGAAATCCATTCTGGCTGAGGATTGAGTTCAGTTATTGTGGCATGTAATGAAGAAGCTGTGAACCAAGCGTCTTGACATGAATCCATAGACCAATAGTCAAAAGCACAAACTTGTAAATTATTGCTATTGGGCAGGCGAGTATATATCAATACTGAATGCAATGACCATCCTTTTTTTCCAAAGAAGTCTTGTTTTGTTTCACATGCACTTTTTGGTAGAACTTTCATTTTATAGTCTACAACAATTGTGGCCCCTTTTTCATCAAGCTCACCTAAATATGCATTAAATGCGCATTTAAATAAACTTTTCTTGTTTGATATGCCAAATAGTATAATAAGTATTCTTGTAGTTCTTTTAATTCTACATGAATTTCAGATGGTGTGTGATCTTGAATTTGTCTAAATAAGTAAAAAAAAACTCTACAACGATTACAGATTAGTTTATGCAATTCTGAGCAAGTTCCAAAAACATAGAGCATACAATAATTAAAACAGGTATTATGTTTTATATATCCAAAAAAATCTACTTTGAGTTCATTTTCGTAATCCTTTTTTAAATATCTTTGTAGGTTATTACATTCGGATAATAATCATTCCTTATTATTATTGAATTACAAATTAGTTGATATTAAAGGGCAAACACGTGTCAAATTCAAAATTGACAAATTAATGACATACCTTGAATACTATTCAACTTGTAATATGATAATTTCGCAAACATTTATGTCTGTGGAATCACATTATAGAATTATTGTAGCAAACATGTTGAATAGCATTCAAAGGGTGCTAGATTACAGATTAGTATAGTATGTATGGGCCAATTTGAAAATCTGTACTATACTAAATCTGATATTATATATGGGTGCACGAGAGGGAAAACCTGTAAGTAAAAATGGTTTACCTGAAAAATTATGATGTTACTTTCATAATTAATCATATGTATAATATATATGTTTCATTATATAACATCACAATTTTTCAGAGAAAACATTTTTACTTACAGGCTTTTCCCCTTGCGCACCCATATATTAACATTAGAGTTAGGAATTATAGCTGATCAGTATGGTATGGTTGTCCTGTACCATACTGATCCGCTTATCCATATCATACTGACTTCAAAAGCACCAATTAATATGTTGAATTTAATACCTGATGATCCAAGTTTGCATAGCGTTGTACTAACGCTCTAAGCTCATTAAATGTTTTATATCTATACATATTACAGATTGAGCAAAGACCACCTAAGTCTTCCTTATATATATATTGGCCACCTTGTAGATATTTATAAAATGTTGTTCTTTTAATGCTGTTAGGATACTCTTCGTGAAACTGTTCCCATAAAGCCTCTTTATTATTTTTTAAATAATATACAGGTAATCTAGTAGTACTATCTGATTTGTAAGAGCTCATTACTACATTCACTTTATTTTGAAAAAAATACTCAATTTGTTCTTTCTTTTCTGGTGCTAATTTTTTTAAAATAATCTTAGGTTTTTCAAGTTGGATACCTCCCAGACCATTAATACATACATATTTGTGTGCTTTAGTAATTAGATAGTTTGAGACCTAAGATAAGTATTTTGTTAGTTTAAAGGTTTTTTAAAAATATTTTAATATTGCTTAGATACTAACTGGTAACTTTTTTTTGATTATTTCATAGGGAATTTTATCCGTAATAATTGACAATATTCTTCTCTTTTCATCTATTCCACGAATGTTAACATCTAAAGCATCCTGAAATGCACTCCAAAATTGTTCTGCGATCTTTTTGTAATTTTCTGAAGTAGTACTAAGGTATCTGCTTTTGTACAACTGCTTTAACATCACTTGGTCACTTGCCGGGTCTTTTGATCGAGTCCAAAATTCAAACTACAAGTAACTGTGAAGTTAGAATTATATATATATTTGTGCATCAGATTAATATTTATGTCATCTTAAAAAATTATCCTCGTTCCCACTTTTTTTTTTTTTTTTTTTTTTTACCTCTATAGTAAAATACTATAAGGGCGATGTTGTCACATTTTACTTGTTTCCACTTTAAATTTTGATCTGATACAAACTTTTTTTTTTTTTGAACCTCATCAGGACTCTATATGGTGTATGAAATCTGACACATATTTTAATCTGATGCACAGTATATATTTGTTTATCATTTATTTATTTTAAAAGGTTTATCACAGATTCTTTTCCGAAAGGTGTTATGTTAGTACAGCCTAGGGGCCTGCAAATTATTTATTTTTATGGCCCGGCCCGGCCTGCACTTAGTTTAAAAATTTTTTTTTTGGCCCGGCCCGGCCCGCAATTAGTTTTAAAATTTTTTTGCTGGCCCGGCCCGGCCCACAATTAGTTTTAAAATTTTTTTGCCGGCCCGGCTCAGCCCGCATATATATAAATATTTTTTAATTTAGTTTTTCTAACTTAGACAACAAAATTTATTTTTAAATTATAAGAAT